TTGGGTTTTGACGCTTCATTGGACAATCTTTGAAATACGGAGACTCTTGTTGAATTATTCTTAGAGCATCCGCATTCTGTCAGCACTGCTTTGATGAGTCTCTCGCAAGCGCAATGGGACTCATTCTCTCGGACAATCCTCTTTCTTAAATTCTTCTTCTGATAGTACAGCTCGTCATTATTGTGATTCGAGCAACCTATCCTTTGCCTCTGAACTTTGTTAACATACATAGGACGACTGGTCGTCGCCTCTGAGCGATCCAAAGTTGAATTTTTGAATCCACCCCCTTGCGGGAGTGGAGTTTTCATAGGTCCTAAACGAGAGTGAATTGGTATTCTCTCGTTCTGGACTTGTGAGGTTCTGACAGGTGGGTGTTTACGACCCCCTGCATATGAAACCACTATGGGTTTATTTGCAGCATCTGATGGTTGTTTAACTGGGGCTTTGCCTCGATCGTCAACCGAAGGACCGAGGCGATCTGCCATTGTCACTTTAAACTTAGACAAATCTGGGCTAACCCAGGGTTTCACCGACGACGCAGTAGATGGGCCCGGAACAGATGCTTGCGGCGTCTTTGGCATCCAGACTTTACGATTCTCCTTCTTGGTTCCTTGTGCTTGTTGACGGAGAGCGCGAGCACGGGCGGCCTTCGCCTTACGCCTTTGTATCCGTTCCTTGAGGGTTGAACGGGCCCTTTTGACGAGAGTCCACTCCTCCGTCGTAAGTTTTGCAGAAATACAATTATTTTGCCGTTGAGACAATTGAACTGCTTTCTGTTTCCTCGACTCTAGGTCCGCATAGTAATGGACCCCGTCGGTTTGTTGCATGGCCTTAGCCAATTGTCGAGCACGGCGCTGACGCTGTCTTTGACGAGCCCTCTTTGTCAGCACCGGTGAGCTATTCATCATCGACTCCTTAAGGGGTGTGGAGTCGTTTGAAGCAGGGATGTCGCAGGCGGATTCCTTAGCAGCAATCGGGTGGGAACCTTCACCTGCGGCCTTCATAGGCATTGCAGACTTAAACATTTTCTTGGAGGACGAAATCTTCCTATATTTGCGAGACGAGGAAGATTTCGCGGATGAGGACGACAAGTACTCCTCAAACTTCGCCTGATCGAACTCATATTCGATCTCTTCATTAACGATGATCTTGATCGGTTGCGACACCGCGGCCTCGGCAGCGAGGCCGCTGGCTCCCACTGTGGTCGCCAGTTTGTTTTCAGCAAAAGTTGAATTTGTTGTCGAATTCATTGTCTCTTCAGTCGATTACAATAAAACTCAAAGAAAACAGCCTTTTTATAAGACTCTTTTAAACAACAAAAGAAAACTACAACTCTTGAGAAAATAAACGCAGGATCGTTGTTTGGATCACTGCTTTCGTGGGTTCTTTGCCTGTGCCGGGAGCGCGTTAGCTCGTGGACCACCGAATCACAAATCGTGAAGAGGGGTTTACTGATTCTTCCTTCGTTATCGAAGTTAGAAATTGAAACGATATCTTATAGAAGTAAGATAGCCGTTCTTCTTGAAATCAAGTCAAAGCCTGAATGTCAAGGGATTGCTCCAAGAACTTAGATCTCTGCTCTCTCTGCTCTGGAATGCTCTAACAAATGCTCGATCCTCGTCAGAAACGATCCTAGGGGGTATTTATAGCCTCAGGGGTCTGTAACTGCAAAAACTCAACAACTGCAGAAATTAGTACGGCGAGACAGTGTTTACTGTCTCGCTGGGCGAGACAGTGTTTGCTGTCCAAAGCTCGACGAATGGATGAAGAATAAGCAGAAGGGAAAAGGGAAGCAACCATCATCAGAAGCAAACATCGTATCGGATGGTAATAATTCTGACTCTTCTATTTATTCGCTTTCTATCAGTCCTACAGATAGCTATTCGGAGGAATCTGAATGGATGTTGGATAGTGGTGCGACCTATCATGTGTGCCCTAGAAGGGAATGGTTCTCCAGTTTTGAGAAGCTGGTGGATAGTGGTGTGGTGTACATGGCTGATAACCGTGCATGCCAGATCCTTGGGATAGGAAGAATTCGCATAAAGATGTTTGACGGGACTGTTAGAGAGTTAAACGATGTGAGATATGTTCCTTCTTTGAGGAAGAACTTGATCTCGATTGGAGCTTTGGTTGGAGAGGGTCTGAAGGTTCGTGTTGAGGACATGGTTCTCGAGATTGCGAGAGACTCTCGTATTTTGATGAAGGGCGTCAGGAGAAATAACCTGTATTACTTGACTGGAGGTATAGTGACAGGTGGAGAGCTGACGACTTCTGTTGATTCGACTAGACTGCGGCATTTGGGGCTTGGCCATTCCAGTATTGATTCCTCGCATAGATTGAAAGAGGGTGCAAAGACCTGCAGTTTGAAGTCCAGTGAACATGTTGATGTGAGCAAGAAGACCGAGGTGAAGTGTGGCACCTCTATTCACCGTGCTAAGGGTCGTTCTGGAGGAGTTCACATGGATGTTTGGGGGCCTTTCAAGGGGGCATCATTGGGAGGTAATAGGCGTTTGGTTTCCTTTGTTGGTGGCTGTTCTAGGCGTGTTTGGGTTGCAACCAAATCCCCATTGGTGAAAGTCCTAGTAGTCTCTAACAGATTGAAGAAGTGTGTAATAGACAGAAAGGTGAAGGTACTCCATTCTGGTGGGAGGTACAAGATGGACATGTTTCTGTATTGGAGCCGAGCTCACGGCATTTCGAGACACTTCGTTGGAAAGGAAATCTTGGGGCAACTAGATAGGATGGCAAATTTGGAGAACCGTGCCTTACTGGAGGAAGATCGGTGTTTGTGGTCGAGCAATGGTTTGCAGAAGAGTTTCTGGACTGAGGCTTCGACATATTTGGGTCATCCTATTATAGAGTTGTCAACTGCTATGATTGGAGGTAAAACTTCATTAGAAGATAGGTCTGGTAGTGTCACTTTGGTTGAGGCTTCGATGAGGGAGCTAATTGACTCTTAGCAGGTGGAGAGTTTTGGACAGACCTTAGAGGTATCGCAGCAGGTGGAGACTGATGCTACTCCACATTGGGTGGGGATTTTCCCACATACTCTAGGTCATTCTGTATTGGTTGGGATTCCAGCTGAGGTGACACAGCGTGGAAGTCATTTGGATTCAGATGCAGATGATGAGTTGGGTTTTGACTCGAGTGCAGCTGATAGATGCAGTTTGGATATGACCATTGGTTCACCTCAGGTGGAGGTGTTTAAGGCCATTGGAGGTGCTATCAGCCGCAGAGTTGATGATATTGGAGAAGGGTTGCGAACTCTTCTATTGGATTGAGGTCGTTCGCGGCCATTTGGATGAACTACGTTCGGCTTGATTCCTTGGGCAAGAGGATACGTAGGCAGTATTTATGATGCAGCCGGGGTTGAATTTTGATGGGGGTGAGATCGATTTGGTGAGTAGACATCGACGTTTGGGAGAGTGTTCGCATTCTTATTTGGGGTCTCGACTTGTTATGGATTGAGTCTGTTGTCATGAATTGTTTCACGGTGTACTGGACACAACAAGTGAGGCATTTGTTTTGGTTGGTGTCGGCTCAGTTTTGAGAAAACTTCGCCGAGGTGGAGAATTGTGAGCACGTGGGTTTTGTGAGTGGGGTGTGGGGACCAGCAGACGCGTGAGGAGATGTGCTGCTGAGAAACTCTCGTGAAGAGAGCAACCACGTGGTGAACAAGAATTCTTGTGCAAAGAAATTGTTTAGCGGACAAAAGCAAGGCCCACCCGATTACCTACTTTCATATAAATACCAAGTCTTTTGCCCTAGGTCGGTGTGCAAGATTGAGAGGGGGGGGGGAATAATTGGCGGCTGAGTTCTCTTTTGGAGCAAGTACAGTGCGGAGGCAGAGGGGAGAAAGAGAAGAAGTCTTTTGTACGGCTTTTGAGAGGTTTTCTTTTGGGTATCCCTTTTGTTAGAGATTTGAGAGTTATTTGAGGGTTTAAATTGTGAGAGTTGTAAACCCATTTGTATTTTTTTCTCTCTAATAGTAGATCCCCCTCCTTGCCCCGTGGACGTAGGCAGTTTGCCGAACCACGTAAAATTGATTTGTTTGAGTTTGTGGCCATTGTAATAGTTTTTAGGATCCCTCGACGCGCAGTCCTAGAGCTGACGAGAGGAAGAGCTAATATCCCACTTTGATGGGATATTAGGTTTCAGATTCTTGTTCCCTTTGGGAAACAAGAATTCTTATCGATCTTTCTCTCTTATTGTGCACCAGAAACTCTGCCGAAATTTCCGCTGCGTACAACAATATCACCCGCTGATTTGATTTCAGCTGTTTGGATAGAAACCATCATGCAGCAGATAGATACAGCGGATGGCAACACGTACGGACGTAGCCCACTCCTCCATTTCCTTTCACATTCACTGCGTACATTGAAGTTTGGTTTAGTAGTCGATCAAAAGGAAAATTACATTAAGAAAGTTCAGGTTAAGGAAACAACCGTTGTTATGAGCGACAAAGTAAGAAATGTATGGAAAAATTAATAATCATATATTCACCTCTACAGACAAAGCTTGCTCTAATTTAACTACGCGACTAATCAGTGTTTAGCAACCAGAAGTGGATGAATTAATTAGAAACTTCAAAGTATTGATAAGATATGAAATTACAGCGCTCACATTAAAATATTTTTTTTTAAAAAAAGGAGCAGGGAATTAAAGAGCTTTTGGGTTTGGATGGCAATAAGACGACATGCAGGGTCCAATAAGCAGGGCGCCCCATGCTCTCACTCTTTCCCCTTGCCGCTCCTTGGAAATCTCTATGGACAACAGGAAAACGAATATAAATAGAGAGAGAGAGAGGGACAGAGTCACAGAGGGAGAGAGAATCTCTGCTTCTGACAATTCTTCCAGAGGCCGCACACACTGAAACAAATAGTTCCGCCACAAAAATCTTCGGATGCCTGATTTTAATTCCGCCCCACCCGCGCCCGCGATGTTTTTCCTCTTCACGTTCATATTATGGCCACCTTTTTCAATATGTATTTCGCGCCTCGTCTTTCCCTTTTGCCCTTCACAGGTAATGATGGTAATTTCCATAAAAAGGCCTCAGCTGCGTCTCTAGTTGAAGCGTCTATATACGTACCCCCCCAGGTTCCTACTCTCGATCTCATTTTGCTCGCTCGTTCGATCGTCTGACTCTCGTCTCTTGCTTCTTCTATATATCTGCACGTACTGGTGGTTATTTTTGGTTACTTCTCAAATCTCAAAAATGAATTAAGTTGGCTGGTAACATCTTTCCTTTATTATAGGAAGAAAAAAATCATCGTGCCGGTGGGTTGTGGTAATTGAGGAGTTGTTAATTAGAATCTTTCGAGATGGTGACAAAGTCTTGGATGGAAGTCCTCTCTCCAACCTCTTCCTATTCCCCAAACTCGACCTGGGTTCTTGGGGAGAAGAAGAGCGGCAGCTGGACTCAGCAGGAGAACAAGATCTTCGAGAATGCGCTGGCCCACTTCGACAGCAGGACTCCCGACAGGTGGGAGAAGGTGGCCGCGTTGATACCCGGGAAAACTGTGAGAGATGTGATCGCCCATTACCACGACTTGGAGGACGATGTGAATTACATTGAAGCTGGATTGATTCCTCTCCCCGGCTACAGCACTTGCCTCGACCTGGGTGCTGGCTGCTTCGATGACGACGACGATGATGATGGCGATGGGATCAACCAATCCTATTTTGTCGGCGGGAAGAGAGGCAGGTTCTCTGATCATGAGAGGAAAAAGGGAGCACCCTGGACTGAAGATGAGCACAGGTACGTACGTATCATCTAACTTAATTTTCGTGTATTTGTTTGCGTCGAAAATTAGTTTATTTGTGGAATTCATTACAACCCGTTTACCGAATTACAGATTCAAAAGAGTGAGCCTTTTTATAAGAATTCTTTACACAAATAAAATAAAAAGAAGACTTCCTAGAAACACACGCAGAGAACGTTTATCGGTCGCTGTTTGCGTGGGATCTTTGCATGTGCTGGGGACGCTTTGATCCATGGACCGCAGAGTATCAGATCCGAATTGATCGTGAAGAAGGCGTAGTGTTCTTAGTCTCAACGAGGAAACCTAGAACAAAAGTAAATAACCTCAACAATGTGAGATTACTACTCTTCTAAAGATCAAATCGATGTTTGATCTCAAGGGAAGGGTGAAAAGGCTATAGATCTCTCGAAATCTCCCGTTTTATGCTGAAGTTCGCCAAGATCTCACCTCCCTCTCTCTAAAATTCGTGGGTTCTGCTCTCAAAACGTCAGCAACTCGCCTCCAAGTCCAAAATTCCAGATTACCCGTGTATATGGGCGCTAGGGGTGTATTTATAGGCTTCGGATGTCATGTTTGTGGATAAGAATTCGTGATTTGGATTTATATTTAGTTAGAAACGACTTTACCATATTTAGGGATATTTCCAAGGTAGTTAGGGAGGCAGTAGATCGAACGAATCCCGAGAAACTTATCGAAAAACGCGTCGTCGGGAGGTTGTATGTGCAAGTCACTCTGAAGTGACTCGTCAATTTGAAACTTCATGATTGTGTCTCGTTCCGTCGTTTCACGCATTTCGTCGTTTCGTACGCGTTCCTTTGCTTCTTCGGATTATCCCCTTTGACTTAGATATCAATGTTCTTCGTCTTCTCTTCGTTTTGAGCTGTGTGCGGGAACCTATAAGCAATTTTTAACGCCTACAGTATTTATGATTGAGTTTTTTTGTTTTCGGGGATGTAACAAGTTCTGTAATTGATGCAGGTTGTTTCTGCTGGGTCTCATTAAGCATGGTAGAGGGGATTGGAGGAGTATATCTCGAAACTTTGTTATCACCAGGAATCCCACTCAGGTGGCCAGCCATGCTCAGAAGTACTTCAATAGGCGTAACTCAAGTAATAAAGACAAGAGAAGAGCAAGCATACATGACATCACGGTTGCCGACATGACGGACAATAGCCCTTCATCGCCATCTCAATCGTCTACACTTAGCATGAAGTCAGCTGTGACAGCTGTTCCCGTAAGTCCAGGTTCAGATCAGACTAAGGAAGCTGCAGCCAGGGTTTATAGCCGTTCGATGTTGCCTGACAGTAGTACAAATCCATTCGGGATACAATCGGAGTCTCAAAATTCATATCGAGGTGCCCTCCATGATCCGATGGCTAGGCACCAGACGTCGATGCTTTTTTAAGGCACATATATAGATGAATTTTCCTGCCCTCATAGATCATGAAATGCAGTAGATGATATATAGTGAAAATGCGTATGTACGTAGTATCTCGATGTGCCATGCGGAGAAAACTATATGGTATATTACCATCTGATCGATCGATTGCGTAGAAGAGTAAAATGTAAGGGTATTGTAATTTTTTTTTTTTTTTTTTGTGTGTAGACTAGTAAATGTATGGCTTGTTGTTGAGCTTCTCGTGTTAATTAGCTAGTTCTCATTTGCTGCGAGTCATGGAGCTAGCATTAATCCCTTTATTACATAGATTTTATGCTGCTACTTTTTGTCTGCTTAATTTGTTTCCGATTAAGCTTTTAATCCTTGTGTTGGGAGCTAGTGGGGCCGGGTACTCATATTCAATTCTTCAGGTATTAATGCCCGGCCGAAGCTCCCCCACGGCCACAGATGACATGGCTGACCGAGATTGACCACCAAACCAGTAGCTTTTCGTTGTTGAGGCTGAGTCACGGTTCCACCAAAACGGAGCATCTCATGCTTCGATTAATTATCTCCTTTCTTCGATCTGCTTCTCTTCGTCTTTTACTTCTCTTGGAAAAGTTGGGGGGTATCTTGAGATATTGGGAGATCAAGTGTTTGTGTTGTTCCGGCAGAACAAAAAAATAAATAAAATAGAGAGATCGAAGAGAAACACCACATACATATTCTCTTCCGTATTCTCTTCCGTCCAAAATTATTCGGCAAATTAATGTACTTTTCCAAAGATCATGGGCAAACTGCCGATCGAGCCCTTAATTAAGCAGCGCAGGAGTCAGCAGCTAGTCACTCTAGCGCACGGGGGCTACTTAACTTAACTATGAGCGCTTCTTTATTCATCACCTGTACACGGCTAGAAAAGCATCTTATTTTATTTGGGATATATCGAATTAAAAAGGATGCATACCTAAACCACTTAATTGGCCGCAATGAATTTGGATTGGTGACTGCTGATAACACTAACATCACCTTTGAAGGGTATATTCTAAATTGACTTTGGTTGTTCCACAAGGGACAGCAAGCATAGGTCAGGAGGAAAAGTAATGTTTTTCTCTGTGTTTAGTTCGCTGTTCCCCTGTCGCGCTAGTTAATTTTATGTCAAGAGGAAAAGTAATGTCAAGAGGAAAAACCTGTATCTCTCGTGTAGCTAGCTACCCATCATAATTTTTTTGATATTCAAGAAAAATCTGTTGTGCGCAGCGGAAATTTCGGCAGAGTTTCTGGTGCACAATAAGAAAGAAGTGAAAGTGGAATAATTCCCTGTGCTCATTACGTTAACCAGGTTAGCCTAATATACAATTGCTACAAGCTTGATTCTAGGAAATAATCAAGGCTTGATTCTAGGGAATAATCACGGCAACAGTTAGGCAATTATATACCTAATAAAGACTATTGCTATATTTACATTTATTTACATAAATATATTCTATCACACCTCCGCAGTTGAAGCGGGAGGAGGTCGTACGCTGAGACTGTCCCGAAAATCTTCAAAAAGAACCAAGGGAAGACCTTTCGTAAAGATATCTGCGATTTGATAGCGCGACGGGACATGTAAGACACGTACTTGTCCACGAGCAACTTTTTCGCGAACAAAGTGAATATCCATCTCAATGTGCTTAGTGCGTTGATGTTGAACTGGATTCCCGGAGAGATATATCGCACTAACATTATCACAATAAACCAATCTAGCCTTCTGCACAGGATAGTGAAGCTCCAAAAGAAGGTTTCGTAACCAGCAAGACTCAGAAACTACATTGGCAACCCCTCGGTACTCAGCTTCGGCACTGGACTTGGATAGGGTAGCCTGCCGTTTAGTGGACCAAGAGATTAGATTATCACCAAGAAATACACAATACCCAGAAGTCGATCGTCTGGTATCTGGACATCCACCCCAATCAGCGTCTGTATAAGATACAAGGGTGGCAGTCGAAGATGGATAAAGGTGCAAGCCGTGATCTAGAGTGCCCAGCGTCTGTATAAGATACAAGGGTGGCAGTCGAAGATGGATAAAGGTGCAAGCCGTGATCTAGAGTGCCCTGTATATAGCGCACAATGCGCTTGAGTGCATGCATGTGTTCCTCCATGGGGTTATGCATGAATAAACAGATCTGCTGCACAGCATAAGAAATGTCGGGCCTCGTGAATGTCAGATATTGCAGTGCTCCTGCAAGGCTACGATAATGTGATGGATCATCATACGGTGTGCTAGACGTAGCACTGAGTTTCGGTTTTGTATCAACCGGTGTGGGTGACGGCTTACAAGATGACATGCCAGCACGTTCTATGATTTCTTCTGCATATTTCCTCTGAGATAAAAATAAACCACCTGCATGACGAGTTACAACTATACCCAAGAAATAACTCAATGGCCCCAAGTCTTTCATAGCAAATTCTGAGCTGAGAAGAGTCATGATAGACTTGCGAAGAACATCAGAGGAAGCAGTTAAGATAATATCATCCACATACAGTAGAATATAAGCCATATCAGTACCTTTACGGTAGATGAAGAGAGAGTGATCAGATTTGCTATGAGAGAACCCAATAGAGGAAACATAATCTGCAAAACGCTTGTACCAAGCTCGAGGAGCTTGCTTAAGCCCATATAGAGATTTTCGCAGCAAACAAACATAATCAGGATGTACTGGGTCCTTAAAACCCATGGGCTGATGCATGTATACAGTTTCCTTGAGGTCTCCATGCAGAAAAGCATTTTTAACATCAAGCTGATGAATAGGCCATGCTTTAGAAAGAGCTAAACTGAGCACAGTGCGAATAGTAGCCGGTTTGACTACCGGACTAAAAGTCTCGCCACAATCCACGCCAACTTGTTGACCTGCACCATCACCTACAAGACGGGCTTTATGCCTCTCAAAAGAACCGTCAGATTTTTCTTTATGTCTAAAATTCCACATCGACTGAATCACATTAACATCAGGAGGTCGAGGCACCAAATCCCAAGTCTTATTTTTAATAAGAGCAGTATATTCATCATCCATGGCCATTTTCCAATTCGGGTCTTTAAGGGCAGACACGGGATTACGAGGTATGGGTGATTTAGTAATGTGGGTGTGAAGACCGTATTTCTTGTTCGGTTTGAAAATTCCATGTTGACTACGAGTGACTGGCCTTTGGGATGGAATTGGCGTTGGTTGGACAGGTGAGGGGGCGGTGGGCTGACTCGTGTTTAGGCTTGATGCATGCGGTCCAGCAGCAGGAGGAATAAGAGAAGGGGAGGTTTGTTGTTGCTGGACTGGTGGATTTGGAGCTGAGTTGGTGGTGTGGGTCGGACTGCTCATTATGGTAGGCGAGCTGGGCTGGGCTCTTTGTTGTGAATCGGGTGATGCATGAGGAGGAGTAGGCGGGGTGAGCTGTACTTCAGATAGGCCTGTGTTTGAGGTCAGCTGGTGGGCCATAAAATGGGATAGGCCTTCATCAAGGAAATCGTAAGTACGAGGCAAGGGAGAATGCAGAGTAGCAAAGGGAAATTTTGATTCATCAAATATAACGTGGCGGTTAATGATGATTTTATTCGAAGATAAATCGTAACACTTATAACCACGATGATTTGATGGATATCCCAAAAAGACACACGGAGTAGAACGGGCTTGAAGTTTATTTATAGTGGAAGAAGGAAAGAGGGGATAGCATAAGCACCCGAACACTCGAAGATGAGAATAAGATGGGTCTTTTTGGTAGAGAATTTTGAGAGGGGATTGATAGGCTAAATTTTTATTTGGAAGTATGTTGAGAAGATAGGTTGCCATTTGTAATGCATGATGCCAAAAAGATGGAGGTAGAGAAGCATGGGCAAGTAAGGTTCTAATAATGTTGTTAATGGTGCGGATTTTTCTTTCGGCTTTTCCATTTTGTGATGATGTATGTGGACAAGAAAGGCGAAAAGACATACCATTAGCTTTGCAAAAATCCCAAAATGGCCCATTATCAAATTCTCTATCATTATCGCATTGAATATTTTTAATTTCTCGTTCAAATTGAGTTCGAATGAAAACTCTAAAAGATAGAAGTGTGGCAAAAACTTGTGACTTTTTAGACAACGGAAATGTCCACAAAAAATTAGAGTAATCATCCAACAATAGAATGTAATACCGATGGCCCGAAGAGCTCAAAACGGGAGATGTCCATAGATCACTATGAATAATGTCAAAAGGCATAAAAGTGCATGAATTCGAAGCAACAAAAGGCAATTTAACAAGTTTTCCAAGAGGACATGAGTGACAAAAATGAGAACTACGAGTGCTATTGCACTTAATAAATTTATTTAGCCTAAGGGAGTCTAAAACAGGTGCTCCCGCATGACCTAAACGTTCATGCCATAAAGAAGGTGCTAAAGCTGCAAAAGTTGATGGTGAGTTGACTTGATTTGTGGTGGGGGTGGTGATGGGATATAGCTCGCCCCGACTATCACATCTCATTAGGTGCATCCCCGTCTGAAAATCCTTCACAGAAAACCCAAAAGGAAAAAATTCAACAGAAACCGAGTTATCAGTAGTAAATTTTCTAACTGAAACTAGGTTTTTAATCAGTTGAGGGGCATGAAGGACATTCTTTAAGGTTAATGGTGGGTTTGGGGGGGACAAATTTGTATGACCATAACCACGAATTGGAATTGAATGACCATTTCCGACAATTATACCACGATTATTGCTCAAATTAAAATATGACGAGAGATTACCTTGTGAGGATGTCATATGAGATGTGGCACCGGTGTCCATGTACCAGTTTGCATCGGGCGGAGTGAGCCCGAGAGTGTGCATCGCGGCCTCGATGTCAGTTGGTGTTGCTGTCGCTGAATAAGCCTGCTGCTGGTGAGGACGAGGCCAAAAGAATGCTGGCCTATTGCTGCTGCCTGTGCTGTGGACTGGGCCTGGCCCAAGGTGCAGTTGGATATGGGCATGGTGGGATAGCCCATGGCCATTGCTGCTGCTGCTGTCCGACCAGCCTGACGGTGGTTGCCGCTGCTTGCTGCCGCCACCCCTGCCTCCGCGGCCACCACCCTCGGCCGCCGCCGCGATTTTTACCACCATTATTGTTCTTGTTTTGGTGATTTTTACCACGGTTTTGTGACATATTTTCAGAATATGAAGAGTTGTCATCAAACTCCTTAGATGACGTAGTAACCATGGCGGAATTAGATACGGTGGCGGCTTTCTTGGCAAAACCCGCTTCTTCCAATATTAGCATCGAACGGGCTTGGTAAAAGGGCAGTAGAGGATCTTTTTGACGGATAAGCATAGCAACACCACTATAAGCATCAGTGAGATCGGCAACCATCTGTAAATCGAGCCGGTTGTTTGTGACCGGCGACCCGACGTTCTTGAGTTGATCCGACAAGAGTTTTAACCGTTGACAATATGCGGAGGCATTAGGGAAATCCGCCATGTCAGTGGTTGAGAATTCTTGCTCAAGAGTGACTGCACGAGAATTTTTATTGTCTTGGAATATGTCACGTAACCGATTCCAAGACTCCATTGCCGTTGAGTCGGTTTCCATGATTGTGTGCAACAAGTCACTAGAGATCGTGGAATAAATCCACTGGAGGACTGCTGCATCAAGGGTTAGCCATAAATCCTTTTCGTCATCGGTTGTCGGTACCTTCTCCTTGCCTTTTTCCGGTGGGATTATGTGGTCAATAACCCTATGTGATCTACAATGAATTTTGAAGAGCTCCGCCCACGTCGCGTATTGGACGTTCTCCATCTCAAGGGTGATGGGGATGAGGGACTTGATGTTCGAGACAGCAAGGGCGGGATGAAGGACGTTCTCCATCTCAAGGGTGATGGGGATGAGGGACTTGATGTTCGAGACAGCAAGGGCGGGATGAAGGGAGAAGGTTTTTGAGTTAGACATGGCTGACGGGAAGGAGGAGGAAGAATAATATGCTAGGGCACGGCGAAAGGTGTGGAGGAGAGGAAGGTTGCCCTAGGCTCTGATACCATGAAAGTGGAATAATTCCCTGTGCTCATTACGTTAACCAGGTTAGCCTAATATACAATTGCTACAAGCTTGATTCTAGGAAATAATCAAGGCTTGATTCTAGGGAATAATCACGGCAACAGTTAGGCAATTATATACCTAATAAAGACTATTGCTATATTTACATTTATTTACATAAATATATTCTATTAAGAAGGATCGATAAGAATTCTTGTTTCTCAAAGGGAACAAGAATCTGAAACCTAATATCTCATCAAAGTGGGATATTAGCTCTTCCTCTCGTCAGCTCTAGGACTGCGCGTCGAGGGATCCTAAAACTATTACAATGGCCACAAACTCAAACAAACTAATTTTACGTGGTTCGGCAAACTACCTACGTCCACGGGGCAAGGAGGGGGGAGATCTACTATTAGAGGGGAGATAATACAACTAGGGTTTACAAACACTCAATCTAAACCCTTACACAATTATCTCTCTCAAAAGCCTCTCACAAAATACAGCCGTCAACACCCAAGAACAGCCACCAAACAACCCAAAGAACAGCCTACTTCTGCGTTCTCCTGTTTGCACTAGCTCTCTGCCTTTGAACAGCTCTGTAGGCCGCCGCTTTAATTTCCCCTCACCTTTTGCACTGTACTTTCTCCTTGCACAGCCGCACAACTTTCCTCCTATCTTGGTACTTGCCCAAAACCCTAAGCATCGAATAGCTATCTATATATATCTATCAATTGGGTCAGTCGGGTGGGCCAGCACAATTGTCCGCTGAACAATTCACAAAAACAACACACAACAAAGTAACCCACGTGAAACAAAGCAACCCACAACATGGGTGGGTCCCACTCACAATTCTCCACCTCGGCAAAGTTTCTTTCAAAAAACTGAGCCGACACCAAAGCATCCAAATGTCACACTTGTTGTGTCCAGTACGAAAGTTTCTTTCAAAAAACTGAGCCGACACCAAAGCATCCAAATGTCACACTTGTTGTGTCCAGTACGAACTTAATCCACAACAAGTCGAGATCCAAACGGGAGTGCGAACACTCACCCAAACCAACAGTGTCTACTCACCAAATCGATCTCACCCCCATCAAAATCCAACCCGGCTGCATCAAAATCCAACCCGGCTGCATCATAGTGTCTACCCAAGGAATCAAGCCGAACGTAGTTCACCCAAATGGCCGCGAACGACCTCAATCCAATAGAAGAGTTCGCAACCCTTCTCCAATATCATCAACTCTGCGGCTGATAGCGCCTCCAATGGCCTCAAACACCTCCACCTGGGGTGAACCAATGGCCATATCCAAACTACGTCTACCAGCTGCATTCGAATCAAAATCCAACTTATCATCTGCATCCAAAACCAATTGATCCCGAAGCTGTGTCACCTCAGCTAGAATCCCAAATGATGCAGTATGATCTGGAGTAATCTTCACCCAATGTGAAGTAGCATCACTCTCCACCCGCTGCGATACCTCTAAGGTCTGTCCAAAACTCTCCACCTGCTGAGAGTCAATTAGCTCCCTCATCGAAGCCTCAACCAAAGTGACACTACCAGACCTATCTTCTAATAAAGTTTTACCTCCAATCACAGAAGTTGACAACTCTATAATAGGATAACCCAAATATGTCGAAGTCTCAGTCCAGAAACTCTTCTGCAAACCATTGCTCAACCACAAACACCGATCCTTCTCCAGTAAGGCACGGTTCTCCAAATTTACCACTCTATCTAGTTGCCCCAAGATTTCCTTTCCAACGAAGTATCTCGAAATGTCGTGAGCTCGGCTCCAATACAGAAATAGGTCCATCTTGTACCTCCCACCAGAATGGAGTACCTTCACCTTTCTGTCTATCACACACTTCTTCAATCTGTTGGATACTACTAGGACTTTCTCCAAAGGGGATTTGGTTGCAACCCAAACACGCCTAGAACCACCAACAAAGAAAACCAAACTTCTATTACCTCCTAATGATGTTCCCTTGGAAAGCCCCCAAACATCCACGTGAACTCCTCTAGAACGACCCTTAGCACGGTGAATAGAGGTGCCAAACTTCACCTTGGTCTTCTTGCTCACATCAACATGTTCACTGGACTTTAAATTGCAGGTCTTCGCACCCTCTTTTAATCTATGCGAGGAATCAATACTGGAATGGCCAAGCCCCAAATGCCGCAGTCTAGTCGAATCAACAGAAGTCGCTAGCTCTCCACCTGCCACTATACCTCCAGTCAAGTAATACAGGTTATTTCTCCTGACGTTCTTCATCAAAATACGAGAGTCTCTCGCAATCTCGAGAACCATGTCCTCAACACGAACCTTCAGACCCTCTCCAACCAAAGCTCCAATCGAGATCAAGTTCTTCCTCAAAGAAGAAACATATCTCACATCGTTTAACTCTCTAACAGTCCCGTCAGACATCTTGATGCAAATTCTTCCTATCCCAAGGATTTGGCATGCACGGTTATCAGCCATGTACACCACACCACTATCCACCAGCTTCTCAAAACTAGAGAACCATTCCCTTCTAGGGCACACATGATAGGTCGCACCACTATCCAACATCCATTCAGATTCCTCCGAATAGCTATCTGTAGGACTGATAGAAAGCGAATAAATAGAAGAGTCGGAATTATTACCATCCGATACGATGTTTGCTTCTGATGATGGCTGCTTCCCTTTTCCCTTCTACTTATTCTTTATCCATTCGTCGAGCTTTGGGCAGTCTTTCTTCCAATGACCAGTCTCCTTGCACCAAGCACACTGATCTTTTCCAATTGTAGGATGCCCTACTCTAGACTGTGACTTCCAATTCTTTCGGTTCGGATTCTTCCCTCTTGTGACCAACGCCTCTGCTACCGGCTCAACTGAAGCCTCCTTATCCTTCTTTCGAAGCTGATAATTCACAAGTGCAGCAGTGACGTCACTATACGAAAATGATGTCTTCCCATTAATCAGAGTAAGAACGAAGGTCTCATATTCCTCGTCGGGCAAAGAACTCAGCAACAGCAACGCCTTGTCCTCATCTTCAATCACGACATCCACATTCGCCAAATCCGTAAGAAGCTTAGTGTAGTGGTTCATGTGATCTCTAATGGAGGTTCCCTTCTTCAATTGGAAACGATAAAGCCTCCTCTTCAAATGCAAGCGATTTTCCACACTCTTGGTCAAATACTTGCTTTTGAGAATCTTCCAAATCTTCTTTGCAGAAGTCTCATTCATCACATCATATTTTAGATCTTGAGTCAAACAAGACCTTATCACACCACACGCCGTTCGATTCATCTTCTTCCAAACCTTCTCTTCAATCTCATCTGGCTTGCCATCTAACTCTAAGGTATCCTCCAAATTCTGCGCGTTCAGCGCATCCAAAACCTCGCATCTTCATAATCCAAAGTTGTTTGTGCCATTAAATTTTTCCACATCTATCTTCATAGAGTAGATATTCAAACTCTGAATGGTCTTCGCGCCAGAAGCACCACCCTCGACACCCGAAGCACCTTCTTTCCCCGACATCTTACGCACTAACGAACAAAGAATAGATCCAAAACTGAAAAGATAGAGTCTTTACCAAAAGATCCCACATTTATCACCAAACGAAGCCTTAGACGAGCCTCCAAATTGATCTACTCCTCCAAATAGCCCAAGCGTCACAAAATCATCAGACGAAAGACGGTCATTCTTGTCAGGCTAAGACGAAAGACGGTCATTCTTGCCAGGCTAAGACGAAAGACGGTCATTCTCGAACCCCTCACTGACAGCTAGTCACCATCACATTAAACGCACGGTGGGAGTAGTCATCATTACACCCCCGCCAAAACTCTTAATAACTCATCAGACCACGACAATATCTAGGACCCTCTGTCACCATCGAATTAATCATAATGGTGACTCATTACACCCACAATCGACACATGTAAAGTATCAGCTGAATAAGATGACTACCCGGGCTCGGCCGAAGTTACATAAATATCATCGTCAGCTGGGTATAAATAGGCACATCACCTATTGACCAAAAAAACGCAATTTTTTGCACACTTAGAGAAAAGTAGCTATATCACTTTCTTGATCCCCTTCAGATCATGACTAACTTGATCGTCAGATGAATCACTGGAGAACCCAACTCCGGTCCTCTAACGTGTTGCATGCGTGCAGAACACCCTCTTATCGGGGGATCAGCCATCCTTCAAAAGAGGTCAAGGAACCCTAACTCTTCAGAATTAGCCCTGAATCCCGTTGGTACGCGTCCGTGCCCGAACAGCTATTAATTTTTTGGCCCCTCCTCATAATTAATCCTAGGCCCGCCACTGATGACGACCGTCCCATAAGGATTGAGGACTGTAGCTGCCAGCATTTTTCTGAGTGAGGTGGCTGTACACGTCAACTAGCATAAAATGATAATAATCTGGGGCCCACCCAGTTGGGTGAATGATTATTAATTAACATCCAAAGGCAAGTTGGAACATGTGATAGACGATTAAACCATCGTAACTTTTGGAGGTCGATAATAAAATCTAGGAGCTTCTTTTGGGATGATGATGCGTGCGGTAGTCATTTCTTCAACTTGCGGAGAGAAAGCGTTTGGTTCAACTTTTATTCTCGACTCAGTGAGCACCCCCCGTTAATTAAGTGGGATTCCGAAATACAATTTCCCGCGGCTTCTTTTATTTATTTATTTATTTGTTTATTTTAAAACACAACACGATATCAATATGCTGATTCCAAAGGTATTAAAAGAAGCTGGGACTCGTTGGATATCCGGAGCCTGCGGTCGATGATGGGCATGTGTTGACGTACTACTGTTAGATTCCTGTTTGGCCAAACAGGAATTTGTTGTGCGCGGCGGAAGCTTTCTAGGGCAACACTAACAATAACTCGAACTAAACCACAAATAATATGCAAACCACAATCACAGCAAGAACAAAGAATTTACGTGGTTCGGCAAGTTGCCTACGTCCACGGGGCAAGGAGGGGGGAGTTCTTTCTACTAGAAATCAAGAGAATACAAATAGGGTTACAAATCTCTCAGACCAAACCCTAAAACAAAGCTCTAGATCTCTCAAAGCTCTCTCACAATTGGATGCAACAAATCTCGCTTAGAGGCTGCTCAAAATCGTCCTTCTTATCCCTAACAAATCAGGTTTAGGGTATATATAGATTTCAAAACGAAACGGGTCAAAAACCTGAAAGCCCAGCCCAAAACGACGTCGGTCGACCGGCACGGTCGACCGCGATCAATTCCGGTCGACCGGCCCGGTCGACCGACCACCTTCCAGCAGAAACCCAAAAATCCAGAGAGCTCCTCGGTCGACCGCACCGGTCGACCGAAACACCTGCGGTCGACTGGCCCGGTCGACCGACCACCTTTCTGTCGCACAGTAAGCTTTGTGCACGAATGCGGTCGACCGGACCGGTCGACCGCCGCCTGGTTTGCCTGATTCTTCTGAGTTTCTGTAATTTCTTCAGAATTAAAATCTTGAAGAACTAACTTCTGGAGCTCATCATGCATTTTACATAGTAAACAAGAGCAGATTAATTAAGGTTTGACAAGTATTAATCTAAGCATCCACAGACTTCAATCATCAGGAATATTAATTGAAAACACTGTTAATTTATTTTAATCATAAACGGACGGGAGAAGCACGGTGCATATATATATAGTGGGACTACGTTAAGCTTCAGCTACGTACTGATTAGGAACGGGCAGAAATTGATTCCATATATTTGCAGTTGATAAATTAGTTCAGGAATCTTCAAGAGCACAGATGGTTGAGTTCAGACAGACGCGCGAGTGGCAACTAACTAAAGAGCCTGCTTAATTAATTTATCTTTTTTTTTATTTGAGATCGATATTCCTCCGACTTAATATGGTCACACCCTCAGCAGATACGCGTACGAGGCCGAGCGCACCATCTAAGAAGCATCAGGGTCACCTCGTGTTCTTAATTCTCTTGTACGTACACGCCACTGGTAAGTTCCGACCTCCACTTAAAAAAAAAAAAAAGATCCACACACGTGTGATTGACTTAGCTTTCCCTAAATAAAAGCGACAACACAGTAACTATACACGGACGCTGCTAAAGCGTCAGCCTTGTGCAGGCGCTGTGGCGGCAGTTGGTCATCTTTCCTCGATTTTTACATCCTAATAAACTATTCTTCCCTTTTTTTTTCCGGGGTCTACCTAAACGAGCTGCTTGATGTTGTGGCTGCAACTACCAAAAGTGCTTCCAGACCTTTGATTAAAGAGAGAAAATGAGCTCCCAAGCAACTTGAGCAGCAGAGTGGTCACCGCTGTACATCCTTTTTTTTTTTAAAATTTTTTTCCCAAAGAAAGATGACGAGGGACGCCCACTTCCTTTCTTGCGAAAAAGACGCAGGGTGGCCGCCACAGGAGGGGAAAAAAAATAAATATTGTCGTATTTCCAGCACACGACTGACACATCAAAAGTTGCATCGCCGAGACGAGTATACCCCCTAAAAGAACGAGATCTTTCAGCAGCCTCTCTCGCCCTGTGGTCTGAACTCTTCTCATTTAGATACCCAACACCACGTAACGCGCTAGACCCACGTCAACCGCGTTTCTCGCGCATCCACCGTCCGTACCACCTGTTTCGTCCGTGAAGGCACCTAATCAAATGCGCACCAGAATCAAGCTAGATGAGGCATTCATTGCTCATGTCATGATAAAAGGGATCTTTTTAATTTAAAAGACTACCAACATTATAATCGACTGCATTAAAACCCCCTAGAGAAATTAACCAAAAAGTAATTACAGTTTCAACATTGGCTCCATTACAACAACAACAACAAAATGTACAAACTTGCATTAGCAAGCAGAGACCATTTTCAGGCCGAGCTGCACAAAATGGAAAGAAACAAACCCACATCGATTGCAAACATCCAACACAGCAATTGCCCTATCAACATATACATGTAATCTGAATCGTCTAATGGTCCTGGTGTTCTCCCAAGTCAGTCTGACAAACCACCTTCAGCAAAGTCGAATCCCTCAGAATTTGGAGAGCTTGGCGTCTGATCCTCCATACCATTGCTCATCTTCGTCTTGCCTCCTTCAATACTGTCACAAACAAATTTATCTCTTGATGAAGTCAAACCAATCGACGACAAACCCGTTACAACTGCTTCAACCTCCAGAGAACCTCCAAGGAGGCCTAGGCTACCGCCATGGCTCCCCTTTAACAACCAAGGAAACAAGTCAGTAAAAAAAAAAAAGGCATAACCTAGTCTGAAGGAAAAGTAACACGTTTGACCTCTAAACAAAAGGGTGCTAACTCACAGGAGCAGTGGAGAATGACGCATCTATCCTGTTAAGGAATGGCAAAAGCCATAAGCATCCTTAGTGTTTCCCTTGCATTCTTTTCCACCGCAGACTCTGTATTGGGAATAAGAGGATGGTTCACGAAGCTCGGAAGCAAAGGTGGTACTGCAGAAGATATGGCAGGCCCCGTGCTCACGAGATAGCCCTGGCCTAAGGAGCAAACATCAATTACTGGAGTATGAACAATTGGATCAGACATGTACGGTGTAAAAGTCGGAAACTGCTGTGAAGTTGGCAACGTAACAAGTGAGGTAACGGGAAGTGGGAGACGAACAATTGGCTCAGGAAGAAGTGAAGGAAGGTTCCATGTTGGAACAGGAACACCAGAGTTGGATATAACTGGTGGGCCTGGAGGCCCAGATGACAGCAGGGATGACAGAGGTGGTAGAGGAATAGATTCATCATAGGTGACTGGAAGTGGCAGATGAGAAGGGGTTAGAGAATATTGAAGAGAAGAAGGGCAAGGAGGACACAAACAGTAATATGGTGAGAACATAGACTTCGAGGTACTAATCTTGGGCAGAGGAAGGTCGGGCAATAAAGAAATAGATGGTGGTGGAGAAGAAGATAAATGAGAAATTTCAGCATGAGAGATGAGGGGTAACAAGTCACAGCCATCACTTGGCCTCATACTGTCATCTTCACAATTGCCAATTGTTTGTGAAGACGAGGGCACAGATGTTGTCAGCTGGCTATTGATAAATAAGCTAGGATTGCTGATATCTCCACGTTTCCTGAGCTTCTCTCTAATACCTCTAGTCGACGGAAGGCTTCTCGTAGCCCCATTCTTGAAGGTCGTTGGTCTTGGAGTGAGACCGTCTTGGTGGGAAGGCAGACCAGTTGATGCATGAGATGCTCTGAAATGGCAACGGGAAGCCTCCAAAACTTGAGATAGAGAAGAAACATCTTTGCCCGCTACATGAACAATGGCTGGTGATTCAACTGATGGAGAGAGTGGATTAGCTTCTGGAGCATTTGACGATCCAAGAAGATACATCCGGAGATGAGTTGCAAAAGATTCAAAACGTGATTCAGAAATTCCAGTTAAATGTGATAAAGTTGGCTTCCTTCTCAGTAAATCTTTCATCTGCTCCATGGACAACGTAGATAAGGATATATATTTCAGAACTAACCACCACCACAAAACTTAAGACATTGAGCTTGACAAGCAACTTGCATGGTAGCACAGGAAACCCGAAAAAAAGTCTGAATAAGGTAATCAGCCTAGAAATTATCAACGCTGGCATATTTAAGTATTAAGTCATTGATTCAATTCACAGTCACCTCCACCCCAACCCTCCTCAATCAATCTCGAGAATTTGATTATATATACAGATTTCCTAAATTCAATCCAGCCTTCCCTCCAGAGGTGACTATAATACATGTCCTGGTGCACAAATATAGCAGTATAGATACTAATTAAACTGTGTACTATTGGCTTAAAAAGGCAAAGAGCCCAAAAGATCTCAACCCATTCAACAGACAGGTCATCCATGTAGTAGATGTAGTCGTAAATGGATGAGCTTGTAGCTTAGGGTGTGCAGTGACAGATCTCTTCCCTTGTCACCCTTCCCCCTTTCGGGGGCTTTCAGTTTCAAATTTAGGGCTTTGTCAGAGGAAACGGGATATTGCTGTGAAAGGGCTTAGAAAACAGAACATGCTTCTGTCTGTGTTTTTATTTTGAGGTAAGATGGTACTTCATTTACATCTGCAGGTAACAGGCAGTTTAGGCTAGAACATCCATAATGACTATGATCCAAAAAGGCCAGAAGGTCTACCAATGTGCACACATTGTGTGATAGCATGCAGGAAAACTACCTGAATGCTGCATCCTAGCTATTGCATCTGCACTTATAGTTTATAACATCCTGTTATTCCTCTGTTAAGAACGTCAAGAAAAGGTGTATACTTTCAAATTATATACAATTAATTGCATCTTTTACATAAAATTACAGATTATACACCAAGTTGCATGCTTCCTATCTTTTTCCATTGCACAAAGAACCGAAGTATCCCGCAATACTATCAATGGTGACAGATAATACACTATGCTAAAGATAAAAATGTAATTTCAGAAATCGGATTTTAACATACCTTTGCAAGAAGCTCAGCACCATGAAGCTTTGACTTCTCAGAGCACCAAAAAAACAAGACCTTAGATCCTGGAAGTTTTAGTAGAAATGAACGGCCAGAACTATCAGCTGTAATTTCTTCAATAACCACTTCTGAGATGTCAAAGTTATTATTCAGAACAGCCAATCTCTCAGTACAACCATCATCCCCAGTGAATGACAGGCGCATGCTAGATGTTGGTAAAAGGGTCAGATTCAGATGGCCCCTGTAAAAAGAAAATTTGTGTTTGAAAGTTAGGCATATGACAAACGAATCTGTTGAATTAAAATTTGTAGAAAAATTATTTCTAGCATTTAGCAAAACAGACAACGGCATTAGAAGTTCACAAAGATGTAAAAGCAGACAAGTGAAAATATCATAATTAATTGATAAGACGATACAATATAGTTGCAGAATGGATTAAACTAAACAAAAATCACTAAAAACATTGGGGAAGAAGGATAAATTCAAAGTCAACAAAATGGCAACGTAAAAGATTCACAAAGTAGCACAAAAAATACCAAGTTATAAGCCAAAAATAAAGAGCATTTGATAAAAATCTGACGAAATGTTCACACACTTTAAACAAGTGATAGACTTGGCGCAACTTCAGAGCTAAATCTTTCCCATTCAAATTCAACAGTTGATAGTTCACGTCACAGATCCACTCTGTTTAAATTGATCTACATTATGGAAAGTACATAGAAATCAAAACTGAAGTTTTTCTGAAGTTATTTTGTCGATGCATTCAGATAAAAGACTTAAATAATGAGTTTCTTAGTCTAATGCTGTTTATACGTGTGAAATCTTAACCAAATGTGATTTCTATTAAGTGTTTAGACTTCAAATGAATATCAAATGTTTGGACCAGAATTATATGTCCTAGTGTAGGTGTAAGAAAAACACAATTTCGATCGTCAATCACTTTCTTGATTCAAGGCCACAAAATATAAAAAATGTTTTTTTTATTATAAATACTTCAAAATGTTGTGAATCACTTTCGACATAATGAATATGAGATGGATACCAAAAATTTAAAACATTTAATTCCAATCAACAGGTTTTGCATCCAAATCCTTTCTGAAGGACCCAAGTCTATCACTTTAAATAACAGACACATGTATTCCAACACCATGAAATTGTAAGATTTGCATTTACGTTGTGTTTTTGATACTGGATGCCTCCCTTTCATAGGAAAAGTTCTCATATAAAATATATAAAATAAATAAATGTCAAGGGTTACGTGTGGTGGCTCATATGATACAAGTCTTGAACCAAACTACAAGCTATTTTTAACTTATCTATCAAGGTGGGCTTCATTGCCAAACCTACTTGCATCGTTGGTCAAATGACTCAAATTAATGGCTTATATAATTTATTTTTCCTCAGATGCATTTCAAAATCACATAATTATCCCTTTTGTTGTGATTCTGCATGCATCACGCTTGTTTCCCACTTGTATAAATGACTAGCTGAAAGCTAATGCCCTGCAGTACTTCCAATCAGTTCAAAAAAATGAAAAAAAAGAAGGAAATGCTTAGCTTTAGAAAAAGGATATCTTTGCACCAGTATATAACCGTTCATATTATAACTTCATATACCTTGCCATCGTCTTAGGAAAGAGCTGCCAAAATAAGACAATACAACCCGTTCTTGTGTACAAGTTTAAAAAAGTTTGATAAACACTGTTGGGCTACAGACCATAAGGGTTTCAAAAGCAAACTATTCAAGTCAAAAGGACATTGAATACCACTACTCTAATTGGTGAGGTATTAATATGTGAGTATTGTCCCACACCAGGTAGGATAAGAAAGAGTGATTTGTTTAAAATAGGAGTTGGGTCAATACCCAGTAACTATAGCTTTTAGGTTAAAATTGGTTCCTAACCTCTATTAAAAGCTTATTAACTTTAGTATTGGGTATTAGAGCTAAAGTTATGGTCCAAGTAATTAAAAAATTAAAAAAAGTGAAGCGCAATGTGAAATTTGAATGTGTCGGGAGAACACATGGATGCCCCCCGTAGGGATAATAAAGTCTGGTTAGTCCCCACAAGTGAAGTTGTGGAAGATCCTATGGATGTTTCTAGCCATGTGTTGAATGCATGGTCTTGCTAGCCCACGAGTGAAGTTGTGCAAAAAGTTAGTTTGTCCACGAGTGAGGTGGTGCAAAAGTTAGTGAGTCTCATAGAAGATCAAAATATAGTTAAACATTGAACTATAGTCACAAATTAAGGAGTTGTTGAGGTATTAATATGTGAGTATAGTCCCACATTACATAGGATAAGAAAGAGTGATGTATTTAAAATAGGAGTTGGGGCCAATATATAGTAGCTATAACTTTTGAGTTAAAATTGGCTCCTAACTTCTATTTAAACCCATTAGCTTAGGATTAGCCTGATACTCCCCAACACTAATGAGCTGAAATATTTGGACCTAAAAGGTGGAAGGTGGAAGTTCTCCACTTTTACACGATTGAGAGAAAAGAAGGATAAGAAAGAGTAGTGAGTTCAAAATAGGAGTTGGGGCCAACACCAAGTAGCTAGAGCTTTCAAGTTAAAATTGGTTCCTAGATTCTGTTTGAAGCCCATAACTCTAGGATTGGCCTGATTACTCCCCAACACTAATGAGCTCTAATATTTGGACCTAAAAGTTAGAAGTTCTCCATTTTAAATAATTAAGAGAAAAGAAGGATAAGAAAGGTTAGTGTTTAAAATAAGAGTTGGGGCCAATACCTAACAGCTATAGCTTTTGGGTTAAAATTGATTCCTAGCTTCTGTTTAAAGCCCGTTAACTCTAGAATTGGTCTAATTACTCCCCAACACTAATGAGCTCAAATGTTTGGACCTAAAAGGTAGAAGCTCTCCACTTTAAACGATGGTGAGGGGAGTATAAGAAAGCAGGGGGGATACTTCTTCACATTCATCTATAACAAATGCATGGAAGCATTTCTGGCATAATCAGAACTAGTAAAGATTATATGACATCACATTTATCTTCTCGAGCTAGCGAAAGGAGAAAGAGGTAAACAGATCATGTAATTTAGGGACTAGTAGATATCTCGATTTACCAACTCCAAGAGAAGAATTGCACCTAAAATATGCCAAAGAGAAACAAAACATTTAACAATCAAATAGATTGCCACAAGGGCGCCATATTCTAAACAACACACTAAAAATTTCTCTTCATTTTTTTTTTTATAAGCAATATAGCCCAGTGCACTGACTTCAGAAAAAAATTATGTATAAATTTCTATTAAAATAAACTCTACCATGGATATCTGCTTTTAATAATTTCAGTTAAGGAGCTTGTCTGAGGAGTTTGGAACGTGAGCAAAACAAATCCTTGTGATCATACCCTGCAGCAAGTTAAGTCTTAACAGTTTATCCAAATATCTCCTAAGTATCTTATAACAGATCCCAGCAAATTAAGGCAAAAACTCATATACATATAACAACAGCAACAACGATGATGAAAAAGATATTTACATGTCACATGGTCCTCAACTGGCTAAAAAATAAATTTTGGCCATACTCTAATTTTTAAAATCATCTGTTGATATATGTCAAATGAAAGAGGAATGGCTGCCAGAAGATACAGATGGAGCTGAAGCTTCGTCAGTTTGCCTAGTTACAAACCAGGATTGTAGTAATTAAAAAAAAAGATAAAAGTGTAGGTAGACAGTGACCGACATAAAATAGTATACTTTATCAGAGAACTCTCCTATACGAAAACATTAAGATTGACATGCTTGGAAATGATGCCATGCAACATGAAGAGATGAAACAAACAAATGCGATCAAATACAATAAATGAATATAACCATGCAATTAAATATGAAATCATGAAACAAACATATCATGAGCATTAAAATTTGAAAATCAATGATCTGATTCTTTTCCCTAATTACAATATTAGGCATTTCCTATAGACGATAACTATAATACTAAAGAAACAGCTATGCGAGCACAAACTATGAAGACGTGGAAGAAACTACCTTTTTTCCTCACATCAGAGATCATACAGAACACACGCCCATATTACCTACAAACGAAAAGACATATTTATTTGGAAGGATGAACAATGTCATCACTAATAAGCTGAAGCATAAATCCTGCCATGATTGGTAAATAGTAGCAAATACAGGATAATATTCCAGCCATATGAAGGGGCATAAATCAACTGTGCTAAAAGGTTTAACCAATTGTATTTTAACCAGACATGATATCCTATTTGCTTTTTAATACATTAAATTGACATTGAGACTACTATCTCTACTACTTGCATGCAGGAAAAAAAGATGGAAAGAATAAGTTTGGATATCAAAGAGATAGATAAACTTCTGAACTATAATCAGCTACTTTTAATGAGACAATCAATATAGCCATGAATCAACTAATCAGCAAAATACGTCGTGTAATTGCTGCTCAAAGCAGACATTATGCAATATGAAATATATTATTAATAAAACACAGTTGATGATATGTATGCACAAAGTTGCATAAATAATAAAAGTCATAAAATAAATGAGGCAAGTAATATTGCATCGTTCTAAAGAATCAAATGAAAGTAACCATTCTGGTAGGTAAAAATTGTAGCAAAAAACATCTAGACTATGAAAGATAAGTACTGGAAAACAATAAAAAGTGAAATTTGCTCACAATGGGCAGTTTAGGAGATGTTTCATAGGCTATTGCCAAAAAACTCAGAAAACCAACTTTTTCAAGCTAGTGATATAAGCATCATTTTGAGCATCCAATAAAAAGCTCCTTGGCGGTATACTAACTAATGATCACTACTAATACAAGCATCAGTTTAAGTATCCAATAAAAAGATCCTTGGTTCTATTTTTTTTTTTTTAAATCTCAACATCCATTTCATGTCACTAGGCTAGAGATTCAAAAGCGGGCCCAATCTTAGCCCACCTTTTCTTCTCTTTTTTTAAGTGTTAAACATCAGCCTTCCCTAAATAGGGACAAAGATGATATTCTGGATATAACATCCATAATCTGTTTTTTTTCTCTCAAGCTCTGCTGCATTGCAGTATTGTCGTATGCAAAGTTAAACCTGAGATCTATAATTCCGATGTAAACAGTATATGCCTCGTGGTTTGTCAGAGGTTGAACGTGGTAAGTCAAATTTCATCTCACCGCTATTAATCTAAAACATCATAAAATTACTTGAAGTACTCATTACTGGATCTACCCCTGGAATATAAAACATGAACAGTCACTCTAACATTGAAATACACATGCTAGATTACAAAATCATTTACAAAAATGTAGCAAATGGGATTATGGGAGAAAGCAAGAAAAATGCTTACATTATAAGTTATAAATTTATATGAGTGGTGAGCTCAGCCAGCATATAGCCCAACACAATCAGACAATGAGTTATAAGCCTTTGTGAGAAGTCGAAATTAGAAGCGCAATATTCAAGGGCAAAAACAAGTGGATATCAAAATCCCGCCACGTGATCAAGAGCTACACGGGCACAGAGTAAATTGTTTCATGTTATGTCAAGGTGAGTGGCAAAATACAACACTCAGTTTTTCCCCCCTCTTTTAGTATGCATGATTAATGGTTGATGACCCTATAATAACACAAATGATGTAGAATATGTAGAACTGGGTAGATTAAACTACCTTGTAGAGGATGGGCACAAAAGGTTGCCTTGCTTGTAAACCTTTCCGACTCGAATAGACACCAGAGGAACACACAAACACCTCGCTAACATCCCAACTTCTGAGGCTTCAAAGTGCTGTTGAGTTATAAACACTCAGACGTTGGCCATCGACCATCAATATACCCCAAAAAAAAGGGAGGGGGGGGGGGGGGGTGATGGGGGTCTGATTATGATAGAACGCACCTGGCTGAGTTGAGCCAGGAGGCTGTCCTCAGCGACTCCGTTGGAGAATATTGAGCTTAAGCAGAGGCTTCAGCCCTCTCATTCGGCGCGACAAGCGCCCATAACGTGAAGATCCAGCGCCCTCAACCACCGCATGATTCCGTTCTCGACCTCGCTCCGGTCGATCAACAGGTCTCCACTCGACTCATCATCATCATCTTCGGCTCGAAAGAAATCCCTGATCCTTCCCTCAATCACCGGAGATTCTTCTCACCGTGACGCGGACCCGTCGATTCCCTCGACTCTTCAGAAGAACCGCCGTGCATCGGTTGCCGGTCTCGGCGATCTGAGGCCTCGTGATGTCGCCCGGCCTCCCGATCCCCCGTTTCTCGTGAAACCATTTTGCTGTAGACAAATCAGGGACGAATTGGGATTCGAAAACCCTAATTTCTTCCCTTCTTCTCGTCCACCAAAAAAACCTAAACGGGGATCGTGTGATTGAAGAGTTGGAGACGCGCAGGAAGACCTTTTTTTTTTTCTATCCCCTCTCGTGGCGGCGTACAGGAATTGGGAGACCCGCGGATTCGAGGCGGAATTATCAACTAAAAGCTTTTTGTAAAGTTTGGGTTCCGGATCGCGTTCCACGTCATCATCTAACATCGACGACCGTGCCCAAAATATCCGATCCATTGGGCCAGTTGTAGAGTAGAGTGTGGCCATTTGTCAAATAAAATATTGCTTGAAATTGAGGCGTCGAAACATGGATTGCCCGGTAGGAATCACCGAAATTTGATGGTCACAAAAAAATTTAGACCCTCATGCTTTATCCCTTTTCGTTGTGGGACTTATTATTTTTTTTATTTGCTTGTATATATATTTTTTTGTGATTCCTAACTCGATAAAACATTAATGAAAAAAAACTCTCCAACTTTGCATAAGCTCCCCGCTACCTTTTTTTAAAATCTTTTTTTACTTTTAAAAGAAATTATAAAGTAACCCCTTTTAAATCAGAGGAGCAACAACTAAGTCATTTTATAAACCTCTCAGGTTTAAAATTGAGAAAGAAACACTCTGTTGAAGAAACCAGTATTTTGCATAATGCACATGTTATAACTATCTATAAAAATTACTGAAAGAGAACTTTGATAAATAAAATTTGCAACTAAGCAAAATATTAGATATATTTCATACATTCTCAAACTCAGGACACATTTGATGATGAAAAGTTTGGCTAGAAGTTGTGGGGTAGTAAAAGTTGATTCCTTCCGAAAGGGAGGGAGATTTGTATCGATAAGAATGGCTTATTACAAATCAAAAAATTAAAATTACAATAGAAACGAAGAGAATGCTCTTCTTATTTAACGTGGGTTCTTTGGTAGCGATAGGATGCCTCCCTTGAATGCTTGCGTCGAGTTTGCTTCCCTTGGACGATCCGATCGAAATTGTGGTTGAGCTTCAGTACGCAGTAGAAGCTCTTGTGTGATTGAATTCGATTATACCCGAGCTTGATGAGTATTAATGTCAAAAGCTTAGAGAGGGCTACAATGCAAGAGTTTGTAGAGAGCTAATGAGTCTCAAATCTGAGAGTTCAGCTTAGAGAGGGCTACAATGCAAGAGTTTGTAGAGAGCTAATGAGTCTCAAATCTGAGAGTTCAGATTGAGTCTACTTCAACCAAGAGTTTGTAGAGAGCTAATGAGTCTCAAATCTGAGAGTTCAGATTGAGTCTACTTCAACAATCCAAGTAAAGAGCTAGGAAGTTTCTACCAAGCAAGCCAATGAATATCTCTGTTTAAAGAGCCTTGAGGGAGCCAATTAGCTAGTCTCCAAAAGAAGAAGCCAAGAGCCTTAAGAGCAAGTCTCCAAATGATCCAGCCTCTGGTTGGAGAGTCTTGAAAATGCCAAGCTTCTCAACCAAATTGTTAGCTGAACCCCTTTCACGTTAGCAAAGGGGTCTTATAAATAGGCAACGGAATGCATGAGTCATCCCTTGATTTTGTGGGATGTGACCACTAATAGGAGTAAGGAGTAGCATACTCTCCCTATAGCTATGAGATGTGACCACTATAGGGGTGATGGGAGTCATGCCTCATTACCCAGGACGTGGAAAGTGGATGGGCCCACTCCCACAAGCAAGCAGTCGCTTGCGCTGTTCAGACGGGGCTGACAGGCTTGCATGCCAGCTTGAGAGCTACTTGAACGTCCAGGCGAGCTTGGCCAACAGGCGGGGTCGGCTGGCGGCCCCCTCGAGCGTGTGACCTGGCGTTCGTTGACAAGCTGAGTTCATGTGGGCGAACTCACTGCAGACGGCTTGACTCGTGCGGGTGAGCAAGGCGTTCAGGCAAGGTCGAGCTCGTGCTGGTGAGCTCGATAATTAGGCGAGCTTGACTCGTGCTGGCGAGTCAAGCAAACATGCGAGGTTGGCGAGGTTTGGCATGTGCAGACAAGCCAAACAAACAGGCGAGGTTTGGCTCGTGCAGGCGAGCCAAACAAACATGCGAGCATGGCTTGGACTCAGGTGAGCTTGACTTGTGCTGGCAAGTCAAGCAAACAGGTGAGCTTTTGCTTGACCTCTTGAATGCGGACGAGCTTTGCTTGCTTTGAGCATGCAGGCGAACGCAAATAGGCGAGGTTTGAGCTATCTTGTGTAAAGGCAATTTTTATTGCCTATAGAAGTATCCAAATTAAAATGACTTTTGGGTGTTGATGAGAAAAAAATATTCATTATATGAACTTTTAGAAGGTGTACAACAACAACAAAGTCTTTCTACTAAATGTTTTTAGGGATGCTACAAGAAGCATATTCTTCTATTTCGTTCAATATTTGGTCATCTCACACATTCGGCTAGTCTTCGTCTTATGCTTCTTAAGAGCAACTCCAATGGACAGCCTCCCCAAAGAATATATCCCTCTATATTCTCTTTTAGAGGAGGGTCACTCCTACCACTCCTCTCTATATGAAACTTCATTTGTAAAATATATATTATTAAATAATTATTTATATAATACTTTAAATGATTTTATAAAATATAAAATATAAAATGATAAAAAATTATATGAATTAATTTAAAATATAAAATATATTATAAATTAATACTAAAATTGTAATATATAATATAATCGTATATTTAAATAAGATTAATTATCTTTAATGAATTGATAATAAGAAATTGATAAGAGCCTTTAAATTTTAAAAACCAGAAAATATATCATAATATTTGGGACGCCATAGAGGTCCAACCATTATTCTTGAGTAGTAGCATCATATGATCTATGGATATGGCACACATACTTTGGCTTACCAGGATCCAATAACGATATTAATGTATTACAGTCGTCTAATTTGTTCGACAATCTATCACAAGGTATTGCTCCTCCTACTCATTACACAATTAAAGGAAAAAATTATGATGTCGGTTATTATTTGGCCGATGGCATATATCCGAAATGGCCAGCACTTGTTCAAATCATTTCCAATTCCGATGATAAAAAGAAATAATATTTTGTAATGTTGCAAGAAGCATGTCGAAAAGATGTGGAGCGGGCATTCGGTATTCTCCAATCACGATTTGCTATCATCAAGGGGCCAACCCGTTTTTGGGATAAATGAACTCTGCATGATATAATGGCTGCTTGTATCATAATGCATAATATGATTGTCGAAGATGAACGTGACAAGCAAGAAGATTGATAAGATTTAGTTTGTTATTCAGTTTTTAGTTGTTAGTTTGTTATTCAGTTTTAGTTTGTTGTTATGTTAGAATAAAAGTCAGAGCAAGCCCGAGGGCCTGACTTGAGAATTTGAAAGAGTGAGTGAGAGAGAAAAACAAGTAAAGGAGTGTGTGAAAGATGGGGTCAGAAGCAAATAGTGGCTTTGCTCAACCTTCTATTCCAAAGTTCGATGGTGACTATGATCACTGGAGTATGGTCATAGAGAATCTCCTCCGATCCAAGGAATATTGGGTTGTTGTGGAATTAGGCTACTCACAACCTGATGATGAAGAGGTGCTAACAGCTACACAAAGAAGAACCTTAGAGGAGATGAAGCTGAAGGATTTGAAGGCCAAGAATTACTTGTTTTAATCACTTGATAAGTCAATTCTAAAGACAATCACACAGAAGGAGACGTCCAAACAGCTTTGGGATTCCATGAAGATGAAATGCCAGGGCAACGCTCGCGTACAGAGGGCCCAACTCAATCGTCTTCGTAGGACTTTTGAGGTTCTGGCAATGAAGCAAAGTGAATCGATCACTGACTACTTTGGTCGTGTAATGGTGGTTGCAAACGACATGAGAAATTGTGGGGAAGAAATGACTAATGTCAAGATAGTTGAGAAGATTTTGAGAACTCTCACTGAAAAATAGAATTACATTGTCTGTTCCATAGAAGAAGCAAAGGATATTGATCAGCTCTCCGTGGATGCCTTACAAAGTTCACTACTTGTTCATGAGCAGAAATTCAAGAAGGATGGTGGAGAGGAACAAGCACTCAAGGTGTCACATGATGAGGGTTATGGCGGAGGAGGACATGGGAGAGCTGCTTTCAGAGGAGGAAGAGGTAGACCCAGGGGTCGCCAAAATTACAATAAAGCAACTGTTGAGTGCTACAAATGTCATCAACTCGGACACTTCCAATACGAGTGTCCTAGTTGGGGGAAGCAAGCAAATTATGCAAAACTGGATGAGTCGGAGGAGATGCTACTATTACGAGTGTCCTAGTTGGGGGAAGCAAGCAAATTATGCAAAACTGGATGAGTCGGAGGAGATGCTACTAATGGCCTATGTTGAGTCACATGGAGTGAATAAATTATGCAAAACTGGATGAGTCGGAGGAGATGCTACTAATGGCCTATGTTGAGTCACATGGAGTGAATCGAGATGATGTGTGGTTCATTGATTCAGGCTGCAGCAACATATATGTGGTGATTCATCTCTTTTCTGTAACTTAGAAGAAGGATTCAAACAGGTGGTCAGATTGGGCAATCATACAAAAATGAACGTTGTTGGCAAAGGAAGTGTGTGATTGTCTTTGGAAGGTGTCAGTCATCTTGTAAAAGATGTGTTTTATGTGCCGAAGTTGAAAAGTCACCTTCTCAATATAGGCCAGCTACAAGAAAAGGGCCTAGTTGTTCTAATGCAGTCAAATCAATGCCAAATCTACCATCCCACGAAGGGTTTGATCATTCAAACCAATATGACAGCCAAACGGATGTTTGTATTGCTATCAAACACGCAACCAATCAAGAAGGAAGTGTGTCTCCAAGCAACTACTCAAGACCTAGCTCATCTCTGGCACCGTAGATATGGCCATCTCAGTCACAAAGGACTTAAGACTTTACAAAACAAAGGAATGGT